TTAAAAAAAACTAACTCATTTTCAAGCACAATTAGTCTTTTTTGTTTTTCCTTTCTTATAGCTCTTAGTCTCACTATTCTGATTACAATTTACTGTTTTTTTTCTTATTTCATGCAAGCTTCTATCTCATTCAATTATGTGATCTGTTGAGGAAAATTTTAGTAAGAATTGGCTAGACAGAGCAAAAGATCTGTTCGAATATTACATATGTTTGTTGGGCTTTCATATCAAAAAATTATGCGTACTTGATAAATTATTGATTTTACTTAATTTGAGACGTTTTTCTTTTTCAGTGATGAACTATTTTACTATATTTGTGAATGTATGTGAGAATATTTTTGTCTATTTTCATATCATGTGAATGTAAACAACATGACTATGTTAAAAAGTATAATCAATAATCTTGTTTTAGTTTAATTATATATTTTAGATTAAAACTCATATATTATCTGACTGATGAGTAAAGTGATCGCATATCAATTTTATATTACCATCATTTAGAATAAATGGTTGATAAGTATTTTCCATGTTTTTCTTCCTTCGTATAAATCAAATTCATTTTTATGCTATATAATTAAACACTTTATTTATGAAAAACTTTCATTCATTTTACACAGTAAAGTGGATATGAATGATATTACTTTAGTTTTAAGCATTAATATTTTTGAGCATTTTCAAATAAGTTTGATAATTATTCTTAGCTAGTTCTTTTATCATCTTTCGTAATTGTTCACTTTTCAACTTTTTTTTTTCAAATTCTGTTTGTTTATATTCGAAATAACTACTTGAATTTTTTTAATTTCAAATAATATTTGTAGGTTTTATAATTTTTTAAAATAAGTATTTGTTTTATATATGTGATTTTACTTTAGCTTTATACATAATTATATCACTAAAAAATAAAGGACAAATATGTCATTCCAAGACATTTCTTAATAAGTATAAAATTTTCAAAAAATAATTCTTTAAGAAACATATAGAATATATTAGAATATCTCCATCGGTGGAGAGACTTTTATCATCTTTCACATATATATAATTAATAAAACTTATTTATTTAATTAAAATTTAAGAGTTAAAAGGAATGAGCTAATTATTAGGTGACAGTTGTAAGATACGTTTGTAAAGGTTTTTATTTGAGAGACATATCTGATTTCTATAATTTTTTCTGAGATATTCTTCTCAAAAACACCGATGGAGGTACTCTAAATAACTTTGGCCAACCCATTCATTGTCAGTTATTTTTGATTGGAAGTTCAGAAATTTAGCATAATACTAGAACCCGATCCACACATTTTTGTTATCTAGCCTAGAAGTTGCTTTTACCCCTCGATCTAAAATTGATGATTATGCCAAAAATTAATACCTCGAAAGGCTATTATCTCGGAGAGAGGAGGGGGCAGTTATTGAAATTATTAGGAATTAATGGATCATGAGGCTTTAATCTTGAGAGTATGTGGAGATTATGTAAGATGTGTCTTACATTAAAAGTTTAGAGAAACTTTGACTAATATATTAATAACTTACATCAATCCACTCATTACCAATTGATTTTTGATAAAAAAACTCATGAAATTTAACAAATAAAGAGTTTTCATCATCCAAAAAACTCTCACAGGGTTTTGGTAGCAATAGAGTTTTTAAATGAGTCTTGACAAAAAAAAGAGTTTCTAAATAAGTCTACTAGAACAAAAAAAACAAACTAACTAACTTAAACTCTAAAAATTAAGGAATGATAATGAATCATGTGTAAAATATAGAGCTTGAGATATATGTATTGGAAATAGAGTATAATTTATACACACACAAAATAGTGTGTAATTTATAAATAGTGAAAGAAATTTACTATTTTTCTTCATTCTTTTGGTTCCTAAAATTACCTTCCTGTATTTTATTTGGAAAACGCATACCTACTTAATTTTATATTTTCTCAAAAAATCAAAAACGAAAATATCAACCACGGAAAAATTGATATCCATTCAAAGCATAAGATTATTTTTTTCTTTTCTTTTTTCACAATAAGTCCAGCTCTAAATAGTTCAAAGGAAAAAAAAAAAAAAAAAGACCAGTCCGCTGTTGTGCATTAGTGAAAGAAGGTCTTGGTCTTCTTTTTGTTTTGTTAATTGAAAGGTTTTCTTGGTTTTCCATGAAAGTATCACGGTGCTTCCTTTGGAATTGCTTTATTGGACATATTAGAGCATGTACAATGCAAGTTTCTTAGCATAATATTTTAACAAAAAAAATTAATAAAATAAAAAAAGTAAGAGAGAGAAGAATTAGATTTTAAATTTCTTGTTTAAGAAACTATTCTTAAGTTTTTAGAAAAATTATTTACTATGTGTCATTTTATAATTGGTTTGAATTTTTTCATAATTTAAAAATTAATATAACTTTTTTTAAGATACCATATTAAGTTTTTTTGCATTGTAAAAGCTCTTAGAACCAGAAAAAAACTCATCTTGATTGCTATTTACTATATTGCATTTGCATGTGTGTTTTTTGTGTGGACCATATTGCATTTGCATGTTGTTAAAAAAATATATATTCTAATAAAATATTTCTTTTTAGAACTAATTCTAATATATTACCACATGTCATTTTATAAATCGTTATGTCGCACTTTTCTTTTTTAAAATTGTTTCATATTTCTATTCAATTCTTTTTTAACAAACAACCATAAAAATAAAATTTCGATTTTTTTTTCTCCATACAATTTTTTTTCATCTAATAAAAAGAGAAAAATATCAAATCACCCAACAAAATACAAATCGTATATATGATAGAGTAAGATCATGTGTCAAATTTTTTCTCTTTTATTTTTTTTCTCTTATCTCTACTAGATTTCTTTAATCAAATAAACACAAAAACAACATTTTGATTTTTTTTTTATTTTGTTAACTAAAATTTCGATTTTTCCCCCATTCTCTATTGATTCTCTTCCATTATGTCTTCTACTTTATATTATTTTAGAAGTTTATTACTTTCAAGAGCTGATTATGATATACTTCTGCGCAAAAAGTAATTTTATTTCTTTAATTTTTATTTGTGACTAATCAAGCAGCAAATAATGTATTATATAGTAAGGTTTTTTTAGAAACATCTATGATATGCTGCCACATATCACTTTATAAATTGACATGTGTCATTTTTTCATATTTTTATTGGATTCTCTTCTATCCAACAAACACAAAAACAAAACATTGGGTTTTTTTTCTCTTCTCTACACAATTCTTTTTCACACAAAAAAAGAAAATCAAATCAACCAACAAAATACAAATCTTATATGATGTGTCAAATGTTTTTTTATCTCTCTTAAATTTTTTTAATCGAACAAACACAACAAACGCTGTTTTTTTTTTCTCCCTTCTCCACTCGGTTCTCATTCATTGTCTCCTACTTCATATTATTTTTGAAAAAAAAACATTTTAAGAGCTAATTGTGGCATTACTTATGTGCAAAAATTAGTTTCATTATTTCTGTTTTCTTTGTGGCAAATCAAATAGAAAATCATTTATTATTTTCTTTCATGAATTCATTTTAGATTAATGGCTCAGTCGTTCTTTCCATACCCCATCGAACCTCAAACCACTACTACTATCACAATTTGGATTCTACTTTCCGAATTTTCTTTCCAATTATCCTTGCGTGCTTTCAAAGAATCGTGGCAGCTACATTTTCGTAACAATGTCAAACCTCATTATATATAAATATTATTATTTCATCAACCTTTTAATACAAAATATTAATAAATTACATGGTACCTCTAACTTAGAAACTGATATTTATCAATAAAATTTTAATAAAAAATATAATAAAATATATTTTAAATTTAAAATTAATAAAATATCATAAATCTATGTAACACACGGACCTTCACCTAATTTGTTATATAAAACAGCCATACAATGTACAATGGTGGTGCTACAAAATGGCTTTGCATTTTTTTTCCAGTGAATACAAATTAAAGCATCTGATTTTACAGAACAAAGGAGGCATATGTTTCAACTGGCAATATATAAACTTTTTTCTTTTTAACATCGGCAATATGTAAATTTATTTATGTTAAATGTGAAATTAACAAAAATCATTAATAGGAGAACTATTAGAGCACCTGCATTGCAGTCTTTCAACGAGTCTCTCAACTTAAAAAAATATAAAAAAATAAAAAAAAAAAGAAGAGAGAAAGTGAAATGAGTCTCTCATATGAGAGATTTTTAGAAACTCTCTAAAGACTTTTGATACATTTATCTTATTGTGAATAATTCAATAATTTTTATTTTTATAAAAATCATTTAAAAACTAAATTATACTTAATATAATAATTAAATATTAGATGAGAGACTCAAATGAATCTCTCATCGATGCAGATGGTCTTAGTGATTATTTAAAATGCTAAAAAACTAACTTCAAACAGAGTCGATCCTAAGTCCAAACAGATCAAGTATGGATATGCAGATTTTATTTTATTAAAGACAGCTTATTTGTAAAAAAAATAAATATAAAACAGCCTTTTTTATATAGCTTGTGGCTTTTACAAATTTTTTAAAAATTTAGAGTTGGCTCTGACTCCAAGCGCTAGGCCGCCACACCTTTGATAACATTTTCCTATATTTTATTTAGCCTTATACGCATGGTAATGCATTTGATTCTTTGAAGTAGGAATTTGTTTTGGAACTACAGCTAACTTGTTTTTTATAAATTATCTGATGTCCGCGCAAAGGAAATTACAATTAACAAATATACAACTAGTGAAAAAGTAAAACGTGCCCTCTTTAACTGAAAGGCAAGTCAAAATCCTATTTTCTAAGTCAACTGGCACCTGTTTCACACGTCACGAGTCAACTGGCACCTAATTCTCACGTCATGAGTCAACTGGCACCTATTTCTCACGTCATGACTGACCCGACAAAAAAATATAAATTAGCTATGTCTCCTACAATGGAAGAAGATAAAATAAAAATCCAACTTTTGCAATCCCTTCAATTTGAGATTTCGAGTAAATGGGAAAGACTTGTCTTATGACTACGTCCCTGTCGCTTCTCCTCCTCTTCCTTCAAACCCTAAAACATGTTCACGCCGGCGAAATCTGCTATGGAGACTTTTTCATCGTTTATTACGGCGTCAATCGTGACAAACTCTTCTCTTCTCTTCCTTCTAACGTCGTCAATAACGGCGGTTTCTACAACGCATCACTTGGCAGAGATTCCGGAAACAACAGAGTCCATGTTGTTGCCTTATGCAACCGAGGCTACGAGAACCAAGCTTGTAAGACATGTCTCGAGCACGTCATTGAAAACACAAAAGCCAAGTGTCCTCACCAAAAGGAGTCATTCTCGTGGGTCACTGAAGAAGCCAACGACGTTTTATGCAATCTACGTTATACGAATCACTCGACTTTCGGCAAACTAGAGCTTTCACCATCTACTATCAATTCGAACCCAAACGATTTAGCGTCCAAAACCAAGAACATGACCCGTTTAAGGCAAGAATGGGATGCAATAGTTAACCGGACGCTCGAGGCTGCTTCTACCGCTGAGACTTCCTCAGTTCTCAAGTACTATAGCGCCACAAGAACAGAGTTCACAGAGATTTCAGATGTCTACGCGTTGATGCAATGCACACCTGATCTATCGCCAAGTGATTGCAAGAAATGTCTTACAGAGTGTGTGAATGAGTTTCAAATGAAGTCTTGGGGAAAACAAGGAGGTGGAGTTAGTCGGCCTAGCTGTTATTTCCGGTGGGATCTTTTCGATTTTTACAAAGCTTTTGATAATGTTACAAGAGTTCTTGCTCCTCCTCTGGCTCCTAGTCAAGCTTCTTCAGATACTACTCTTCCTTGTGGGAGAGACGAGAAAAGTTTTGGAGGAAGAAACATTGCAATCATTGTGGTACCCGCAATCATTAATCTCTTCGTATTTGTTGGTTTAATCTGTTTTTGGAAGAGAAAGTCGTCACACACCGGAATCAAAGGTAAAGTTATTTAAATTACGTTGTATCTTTTGTTTTGTTAGGAATTAAAAGAGACTCGTAGTAATATATAAGAGGCATGTGTTAATGTACTTATTGCTAATTTGGTTTTAAATTGAAAGTTTATAAAATTTAAGATGATACCAAGTCTAGTTTGTCTACCCAAATAGCTAGGTCGATAAGAACTATCATCTTAAGAAGACATTTTGTTCATCTTGTACCAGATCACCCACTTTCTTTTTAGATTGGTTACATCTGTTTTGAGTTTAATTACGAGGTTCTCTGATGTCATGTGAGCAAATGAAGAAAAGAAAAATAGAGAAATTTGTAAACTAAAAGTTCAGCTGTCAAAGTTTAAAGGAAAAAAGGTTCTGTTTTTGTTACATGTTTCATTGTGATGTGCAGAGAATTCTGATTCAAATGATGGTCAATCTATGGTACGCTTTGATCTTGGAATGATTGTAACTGCAACCAATGGCTTCTCTCTTGAAAAGAAGCTTGGCCAAGGTGGATTTGGCACTGTCTACAAGGTAAAGAAACTTGTAAGAGTCCTCTATCAAAAGTCTTTAGATGGGTCAGTGATCTTATAGCATGAGAATTGGTTTTCAGGGAATACTACCGAGCGGGCAAGAAATAGCGGTAAAGAGATTAACAAAAGGTTCAGGGCAAGGAGATATGGAGTTCAAGAATGAGGTCTTACTCTTGACAAGACTCCAACATAGGAATCTGGTTAAGCTTCTTGGGTTCTGTAATGAAGGAGATGAAGAGATTCTTGTCTATGAATTTGTCCCCAATTCAAGTCTTGATCACTTCATATTTGGTGAGCCTTCTTCATTTTTATTACAATACTTTTAGCAAACAACAACATTAAACAACTCTTTGAAATATGCAGATGAAGACAAACGCTGGCATCTTACATGGGATGTTAGGTACAGAATCATACAAGGAGTTGCAAGAGGGCTTCTTTATCTCCATGAAGATTCTCAGTTGAGGATTATTCACCGGGATTTGAAGGCAAGCAATATTCTTTTAGACGCTGAGATGAACCCTAAAGTTGCAGACTTTGGGATGGCGAGGCTGTTCAACATGGACCAGACTCGAGGAGTGACAAGCAAAGTAGTTGGAACCTAGTAAGTATGCTCTGTTTAATATAGATGTTCTGTTTCCCTTGCCTAAGATTCTTCTATCAGCATCGCAATGAACTTGATTTGGTTAATGCAGTGGATATATGGCTCCGGAATATGCAACATACGGACAATTTTCAGCTAAATCCGATGTTTATAGCTTTGGTGTTATGCTTCTGGAGATGATATGTGGTAAAAGAAACAAAAACTTGAAAGAAGAAGAAGATGAAGAAGAAGAGCTTCCATCTTTTGTAAGATTTTCACATATTTCAGTCATCTTTATTCTTTTTCCTCAAGATATCAAACTGTTACAAAATTTCTCTGCAGGTGTGGAAGAGGTGGATTGAAGGAAAATCTGCAGAGATCATCGATCCTTTAGCTGCGCCGAGTCACAACATCTCAAGAAACCAAATAATGAAGCTAATTCACATAGGTTTATTGTGTGTTCAAGAGGATTTTACCAAAAGGCCAACCATTAATTCAATACTCGAATGGCTTGAAACTCGCGTTGCTACCACCATGGATCTGCCCACGCCTGTTGCCTTTCTTACGGCACCACCATCATCATCACCATCACCATCATCATCACCATAACCATTACTGCACCACTAATGTGTTATGTGCCATCAAACATGTTTGTATACTTCTTTTACTTCTTTGGCTCTCTTTGTACAATCAATGAGATGCCGTGTAGTACAAACAAACTTATGTTCTGTTTTTTTTTTCTTAAGATGATAATAAGTGTGGCTCGTAGTATTATCTTTTAAATGTCCAACACTCCAAAATTTTACAGAGAAAGAAGTAACTTTATTGAGATTCATATTTGTTTTCGAATAATTTATATATTCATTCATATTTGTCTTCTTTCTTTTTTGACAAAAGGTTTTCACTTAAAATGCATAAAACAAAATACAAGCTATGACTTCTGCAAGTCATACAGTTTACATATTCATATTTTTGTCTTCGATTATAGATCATATCCTCGACGTAAGCAAATATGCACACACATTGATATATATACTGGAAGGCTTTGTATATCCGGTGGTTCTTAGTTTGAATAATGAAAGAGTGTTAATTTTCCATCAAAATACTGATTGACCAAAGAGTTGGGCAATGTTAGGTGATGATGCTTGGCGGCAAACTACTAGCCAATGCACGTTGAAGCGCCAGCTAGTGTCTGTTGCTCGCCAACTTTAAACGAAGGAAAACTTAGAACAGGACCATGCATGCATGTGCAAGGATCAGCTAGGTAATACTTCGTAGAGTGGGTTATAATTCTGGTGATCAGAATCTGATATGTACCCATATATTATTTTCTTAAGAGACTCATTAGTTAATTTTTATTCTTTTGCTAAAGATTTACCAGTAGTTAATTAAATTAAGGGAATCAGCGTTTTTTTCACTTTTTTCCTAATTTTGATTAGTTTTTTTTTTTTTTTTGAACTTTGCATTCATTAATTTTGATTAGTTGATCGGGATTTTTTAGATAAGCCAATCAATGGATGTTAGTATACATAAAACGCACGTACGTGTGGCAGCAAATGTATCAGGGGTCAGGGGTGGAGCAAGTAACTATAGTGGATTAAAGAATTAAATTTTATCAACTAATAATGTTCGGGAAAAAAAAGAAACTAAAAATGTTGGGATTGTAATATTTCATTAATTTATAATTTATTAACTGATAAAAAATATTTAAAAATAACATCAAAAGTTTTTAACTGATAAATTCATAACTATTGGTATAATAGCATATTATTAAAACACATTTCAACCAATCATAAACAATTTGTAACGGTTAAAAACAATAAAATAACAATTAGTTTTTCATTAAAAATTAAAAACATTGTATAATTTGATTTTTTCCACTAAAACATCATTATTTATATTGAAATATAGAGTGTATATGCTACTTATTATGTTATGGCATTAATGAGATTATATATTTGTATAGATGTTTAAAAAAAAAAATAGTATTATAATATTATTTTATCTAATTGTATTATATTTTGAATCGGTATAATGCAAAATAAAAAAAAAGTTATTAATGTTTTGTATTTATTAAACTATCTAATATTAATTTATAAAGTTTCTATTGTACAAACAAAGCTGGAAGGAAAAGTAGATAACCAAGAGAGAGGAGATAAATACATGAATGTGAAAAGATCAGTGATGAGATGGTGGCAGAACGAGAGGTTGGAAACCATGGCGGAGAGCAGCTTCCCAGACGGCGTTGAGACGGAAGAAGTTGGGAGTGTTGCCGCATTCGTGCTCCTCCCAACCCTCGAGCGCATGCACTATGCCCCCTACTCTCCACGCACTCATCAACCTCCTCCCCAGCCAATTCTATGTATATATATAGGACAAAAATTAATTAGTGTCCGTTTATTGATTAATTATATATATATGCACACATATAATATACCTATAAGCATAATTAGCTTAGTAAAACAATACATATCTATGTATATATTCAAAGTTGTACCTGACATGAGTCGATGTTTTGGGCAGACTTGGGAACAAGCATAGCCGGAGTGGAGTGGAGTGGTAGAAACAGTCCTTGCGGAGTTTGTCGGGTGGGAATTGAGAGAAGGGAATAAAGAGTGTTCCTTCTTGTGCCTTCATCTGCTCTTCTCTCCCTATTTCATCCCCTACCAACCACACCAATGGGGAACAATAATTGCTCGAGGACAGTACCAGATTCTTCTTGACGACCCTTGATTTGACGAGTTTGCTATGTTCCTCCGCGCGTAAAACCACCACCTTTATATATACCCATTCATGCTATTAATTTTTGTTTGGTATGAGAAGCTTAGTGGATTCCATTTTCTCATACATCAAATACCTTAACTCCCCTCTGACATAGTGCAAAGACAACGGCCGAAGCAACTTTTGTGGGTTTGCCACTAAACACAACTTCCGTGGTTCCCTTTGGAATGCTATTGACTACTACCGCAGCTGCCATGTTGCTTCCGTCCACTAGTTTTATCTTCAGCTTTGGATACTTTTGCACGTACATTTCTCCACACCCGTTTAGCTCCTCCCTCTCATTAATCGTGTGTTCATTTTGTTACTTATACATTATACAGTTTATTCATATATATATTGTTAGAAGGGAAATGAACATATTTCTTAAAAGACTTTCTCTAGCAATAACCTAAGCCTATCAAGATAAGGAAAACCACACTGACTTGTGGATTAAGGAAGAATCTTTAAAGATAATGGAAAACTTTCGAAGAATAAGGAAAAAAAAATTTTTTTCTAAACGGAAAAAGAGAAATATTCGTAAATCAAAAAAGAAAACGAGGTCAAATGAACCGACATCACCTTCTTATAAATAGAGAGCTCCTCATAAGTTGAAGATCATCAGAAAACGGGAGGAAAATCCGATCTAAAGCAACCACCAAAAAATCTGAGATCTAGAGAGAATTCTCTAGATTTCTTCTATCTAAACACTTTGCACCGAACTACGAATGGCTTGATCCCTTTGCAAGGATACGTAGGCAGCCTTTCTTAAAGGTTCATCTATAACTTGATAAAAATATCAAGTAGTTCATCTTTTCGGTGACCCAATCTCCGAGCTCCAATTTGATATTCTCTTAAACCCAAACCGTAAATCACTTAAACCTAGTGGTGGTTTTCTGGTTCAACAATTGACGTTGTGTGCTTTGTGTGCTTTGGTTCAACCTAGTGGTGGTTTTCTGGTTTTCTGGTTACTGACGTTGTGTGCTTTGTGTCATGTTTATAGAGTCTTAAAGTTGAGTCAAAAACCTGTTTTCCTAGAGTCAAAATTTTTGAAACTGTTAGTTTTTCTTGGAACTAGCCATAGGACGTTTTTGCTGATAAGAACCATTGCCACAGTAGTTGATTACAAGTCTTACTAAGTTGAAAGTCATAGGTAGATCAGTCTAGCAATGAAGGTTTAGGTTCTTAGAGAATCTGGAAAATTTGCTGTTAGCTCCACCTTAATGAACTTTAAACTTCTTGTCTTGGTGATTGATTCTTATTGATCTTGATTCTCTCTTTAAGCACTGATAATAAGGTTAAAATACAGTCTCTCTTTGATCTTCCCTGATGTAGTTTTTAAAAGTTTAAGTCCAAAGAATGGTGCATTCATGACCCTGTCTCCTCACAAGGAACAACAGTAGTGAACACACTCAAGAACCTGTCTCCTCACAAGAAACACAAGTATTGAGTAGCACCATTTCTTAGACTGAAAAAGTTGAGAAAAAGAAGTGAAAATTTCGAAAATATCCTAAGGAAAAAGATTAAGGGAAGAGAAAATAGGAGAGCTGTGTTGAGATTGATTTGGTCAGTTGTTAGGAAGGGAAAAGAATCTGTAAAGTGATTAAGATGATAGAGCCTTGATGAGACTTCACACTTAGATAAAAAATAAGGAGTTAGCAGTAGAAATTTCGGATTTCTTGAAGGGATTTGGACTGGACTTGAGAGATTTGCTAAGCTTGTGATGATTAGGCTGAAATTTGATATTGTGTTGACTCTGTGGTATGTGGATTCGAAAGCTTTAACTAGTGTGGTGTTTCTGATGACTGACTAACTGTTTCTTATTTTCAAACCTCGACCCTGTACTCTATCTGATGTTTGCTTGAGGGCAAGCAAAAGCTAAGTCTGGGGGAGTTGATATATCATGTTTTTTTATGGTTTTTAACCATGATATAAGTCCTTTTTATTGAGTCTTTTTGGTCTTTTTAGAGTCCTAGAAGAGTCTTTGCAGGTTATAACATGTCTGGAGCATAACTGGAGATATTTGAGCTTTTTGGAGCATTGCAAGTTGAAGCCACGAAGTACCAAGCTTGAAGAAGAAAAGTATGCATATGGGTGACGCTCGTCACCAATCTGGTGACGCTCGTCACCCAGAAAGGAAGGAGGTCGTGCCTGTTTTTAAAAGATTGGGAAGAAATTGCAGTTTTGGCCCAGAAGTTCTAGTATTTGCAAAAAGGCCCCAGATCGTGTTTTAGCTTGTATATTAGGGTTTTCAGCCATTCTTTTGGCATATATCTTGTATCTTATTATTTTTTAGAGCTTTAGAGAGAGATTTGTAGCAGAGCTTTTGGAGAGACAAATCAGACTCCTTCAGAGCAGATTTTGAACTCCTTTACTTTCTACTTCTTATTTCTTTTATGCAATCTATTCTTTTCATGATGTTTTCTCAAATCACCATGTCTGAGTAGTTTGTTAGTTAAGTTAGGGCTTTTCAAAGGTTGAAGAAGAGTTTGTAGAATTGCTAAAACTATAGGAAATTCATTAGTTCTTCATCTGTGCTTGCATTCATATCGATTTCTTAGACACATCATCTGGATTTCGAAACCCTAGGTTGTTTGATAGATGTGAGAGCATTATTAATCACCTGAACTAGTATTAGATGAGCAAAACGCCCTAGTACAAAGAGATTTGGCTTAGGAGTTTTGTGAACAATTGAACCTGATCATTACTGCATGTTTAGGTTGTTAGGGTTTGCAAAGAGATTTGAAACTCTGTGATTTAGACATAGATAACTTCTGCAATGAGAATTGATTAGTTATATCTTTGTGATTCATGTTCAAGACGGTTTTAATTCATTCCTGATTTCATGCATTCTACACTCTCGGATTCAACCTGCGAACTGTCCTGACTTAGCGCCTTTAGCTTTCTGAACTTTAAGAACAGTTTCAAAAACGCCCACTTGCTTTTATTACTTTAGTTATTTCGCATTACATTCATTACTTATTGCTTAGCTTAATCCGAACCTGAACTCTTTAGTGTAGTTTACTTACTCCCTTGGGATTCGATAACCCCTTGTACTACAACTGCTTTTGCTGTGCACTTGCAGTAGTTTTATTTGGGTAAAACCTGAGCCCTATCAAGTTTTTGTCGCCGTTGCCGGGGAGTAATAGCTGCCTATCGATTTTTAGTATTAGGATTTTGTCTAAGTTTTTATTTGTTTACTGATTTTTAGCTACTTTTCTTTGTTCCTGTTTCAGGTGTATGCCTAATCGCAGAACCAGCAACAAAGATAAGGAGCTAGTGACTTTGAGCATCGACGAGCTTGCTAGGTTGGAGAGAACTAACAGGAAAGCTAAGAAGCAATCTACAATGGTCGCTCCACTGATCTTGGTTGAAGATGCAGAAGGTCACTTGGTTGACAGGGAAGAAAACAGGAGGAACGAAGAGGGGCAGAGAATTGATCAAGAGGGGAATGTCATTGTTGAACAGCAGGTTCAGCAAGTGGCTGAGAACGTGGGGGTCCCTGCTGCTGTCAATAACGCTGCTGGGCGTTTTGTTCAGAGGACTCTAGGTGACTACAATAGACCTGATCAGTTCTATGCCAACAGAGCTGCAATCCGACCTCCTGCCTTCCAGAGGAACGATTTTGAGGTTAAACCAGTCTACTATCAGCTGGTTGGCCAGCATCCATTCCATGGTTTACCTCATGAGCATCCTATGGATCACATAGAGAGATTTGAGGACTTGACTTCCAGTGTCAAAGCTAATGGGGTTAGCAATGACTTTCTGTTTTGCAAGCTTTTTCCTTACTCTCTTGGAGGAGAGGCTGCATATTGGCTGAAGCAACTGGAACCTGCTTCACTAACTACTTGGGAGGACACCAAGAATGCCTTTCTGAACAATTTCTATGATGATGCCAGATCAGAAGACATGAGGACGAAAATTGCATCCTTTACACAAGGTCCTACTGAAGCTTTTAAGGCTTATTGGATCAGGTTTAAGTCTTATCAAAGGGACTGTCCTCATCATGGTTTCAATCAGGTGCAGCTGCTTGGTATCTTCTTCAGAGGCATTGACTGGAAATATCAGATGGCACTGGATGCTTCAAGTAGTGGAAAATTCAACACCAACAGACCAGAAGAAGCTGTAAGATTGATTGAAAACTTGGCCTGCAGTAACAGCACTAAGAATGCAGATTTTCAGAGAAAGCAGCAGGCTGGTTTGAATTATGGTAACCAAATAGCTGAAGTTAAGGCTAAGTTAGACAGCATGCACAGCCTTCTGGTGGGAAAGAAGTCAGTTCAGTTTGCTGCAGAAGTGGAGAGTTTCGAAAATCCTGAAGAATTTGAGCAGAAAGATGTTAATTTCATCAATGGAGGGGGTTTTCAGAGCCAAAGGTTTGGAAATCAGCAATGGAACAGAGGCTACAACATCAATAATCAGCAGAGTACCTTTAAAGGAGGACAGAACACGCCTGGTTACACTCCTAAGCCCCCATTCCAGAAGACTGAAGTTGAGAAACCATACCAAAACAGCAGGAATTTTGGTTCTTCTTCCTACCAAACTGCACCTCCACAAGATAATAAAATGGAAGCTATGCTGGAGCAGGTACTTGAAGGACAGCAGAAGATGACAGTGAACTTCAATGGCAAGCTAGATTCGCTGTATCAAGACCTGAACGGAAAAATTGAGAGTCTGAACTCTCACATGAAGAAGCTTGATGTGCAGGTTGCTCAAACTGCAGGAGCTGTTCAAAGGCAAGAAGGATTCCTTCCTGGAAGGACTGATATCAATCCCAAGCATCAGGTTAATGCCATCACAGTCAGGAATGAAAAGGAGCTTAAAACAGTGCAGAAAAAGAGGTTGAGTGCAGAGCAGATCGTGCAACTCATGGAGTCTAAAGATGAAAAATTTTCAGTCTCAGAGGTGAGTGACGAGCGTCACCAAGGAGGAGTGATGCTCGTCACCAACTTAGAAGGATATCGGGGGTTGTCACAAGTGAGTGACGAGCGTCACCCCCCTGGTGACGGTCGTCACCCACCCCAGAACGAAGCTGTTTCGCCTGTAACTGCAAATTATGACCAGGAACGTGTCTATAAACCCAAAACACCATTCCCCAAGCATCCTAGGAAGTCTAAACAGGAGATAGAAGAAGCCAGATGCAAAGCTATGATAGACAAGCTGATGCTTGAGATCCCACTTATTGATGCAGTCAAGCTTTCACCAGCTCTAAGAAGGTATGTAAAGAGAATGGTTGTGAATGGTGTAAGTCCTGAGGAAGGAGCATTGCTTACC